CCCTGGACAAGTGTTTTTTTCAAAACTTTCAACACCCCTGCACCTCATATTAGATTCCCCCCAACCCCCACCCTGAACATATATAAATATATTAAAAAACATATTATATTAGAATGTTCCCATGTATATGGGATGAAGCCAGAAATCACTTTTAGATGGATGAGATATCTTCGCGATCATTAGAAGTCATCTTGCAGATATACCAGAATGGATACCCTCCAGATTTAGCAGGAGTATACAACTAATAAATGGAAAGCATTTGACCCCATGCTTTGACATCGATTGTCAAACAACTGGTGGGTATACATCATGCATTGCTCTTGCAATGTGGTTTCTATGCGAGAAAAAAATGAAAAGAATGCAAGACCACATTTATTTAATTCACAATGGCAAGATGACTTCCACAGTGAGTAGAAGCGTAGGCTTATACCATAGCTTTAATTCTTCAGCTATTACATTTTTCTGCCCTGGAACATGTTATGGGTTCGGTGAGGGGGGGACATTGGCAAGCAGCTCCTACAATTAGAAAAAAAATGGACTACACATTGCAGGCTGTGAAATTTTCAGGTCTCCCATGAGAAAATTAGCTTTAAGCCTTTTCTGTAGTACCAATATACAGTATCTCACAGACGTAAGTACACCCCTCACATTTTTGTAAATATTTTATTATATCTTTTCATGTGACAACACTGAAGAAATTACACTTTGCTACAATTTAAAGTAGTGAATGTACAGCTTGTATAACCGTGTAAATTTGCTGTCCCCCCAAAATAACTCAACACACAGCCATTAATGTCTAAACCGCTAGCAACAAAAGTGAGTAAACCCCTACGTGAAAATGTCCAAATTGGGCCCAATTAGCCATTTTCCCTCCCAGTGTCATGTGACTCATTAGTGTTACAAGGTCTTAGGTGTGAATGGGGAGCAGGTGTGTTACATTTGGTGTTATCGCTCTCACTCTCTCATACTGGTCACTGGAAGTTTAACATGGCACCTCATGGCAAAGAAGTCTCTGAGGATCTGAAAAAAGAATTGTTGCTCTACAAAAAGATGGCCTATGCTATAAGAAGATTGCCAAGACCCTGAAACTGAGCTGCAGCACAGTGGCCAAGACCATACAGTGGTTTAACAGGACAGGTTTCACTCAGAACAGGCCTCGCCATGGTTGACCAAAGAAGTTGAGTGCACGTGCTCAGCGTCATATCCAGAGGTTGTCTTTGGGAAATAGACGTGTGAGTGCTGCTAGCATTGCTGCAGAGGTTGAAGGGGTGGGGGGTCAGCCTGTCAGTGCTCAGACTATATGCCGCACACTACATCAAATTGGTCTGCATGGCCGTCATCCCAGAAGAAAGTCTCTTCTAAAGATGATGCACAAGAAAGCCCGCAAACAGTTTGCTGAAGACAAGCAGACTAAAGGCAATGGATTACTGGAGCCATGTCCTGTGATCTGATGAGATCAAGATAAACTTTTTTGGTTCAGATGGTGTCAAGCATGTGTGGCGGCAACCAGGTGAGGAGTACAAAGACAAGTGTGTCTTGCCTACAGTCAAGCATGGTGGTGGGACTATCATGGTCTGGGGCTGCATGAGTGCTGCCAGCACTGGGGAACTACAGTTCATTGAGGGAACCATGAATGCCAACATGTACTGTGACATACTGAAGCAGAGCATGATCCCCACCCTTTGGAGACTGGGCCGCAGGGCAGTATTCCAACATGATAACAACCCCAAAACACACCTCCAGTGCCTTGCTAAAGAAGCTGAGGGTAAAGGTGATGGACTGGCCAAGCATGTCCCAGACCTAAACCCTATTGAGCATCTGTGGGGCATCCTCAAATGGAAGGTGGAGGAGTGCAAGATCTCTAACATCCACCAGGTCCGTGATGTTGTCATGGAGGAGTGGAAGAGGACTCCAGTGGCAACCTGTGAAGCTCTGGTGAACTCCATGCCCAAGAGGGTTAAGGTATGCTGGAAAATAATGGTGGCCACACAAGATATTGACACTTTAGGCCCAATTTGGACATTTTCACTTAGGAGTGTACTCACTTTTGTTGCCAGCAGTTTAGACATTAATGGCTGTGTTGAGTTATGTTGAGGGGACAGCAAATTTACACTGTTATACAAGCTGTACACTGTAGCAAAGTGTCATTTCTTCAGTGTTGTTACATGAAAAAATAAAATAAAATATTTGCAAAAATGTGAGGGGTGTACTCACTTCTGTGAGATACTGTATATTACTATGTCTCTATAATTTGAAATATAGGGACTACTTCAAAAATAAATTGATTATTAGACTATCCATTGTACCCTTAGACATGTGTCAACTTTATTTGCTTTAATTTTGATTTATGTTGCATTTAATGTTTTGTAAGTATGTCACTATAGATTGCATGTAGGGCCTCAGTTGGAGCTGTCATCATGTGGTCCATGAGGAACAGGGGGGTGGGGGCAAATTTCCAGGAGTTGGGAGGGACAATAGATAAATCTAGACATATTGGAACGTGTGGTCCGGTCAACTTTTTCTAATTTTTATCACATATACTATATGTGTATGTATGTATATATATATATATATATATATATATATATATATGTACACTACTCAAAAAGATTAAAGGAACACTTTGAAAACACATCAGATCTCAATGGGGAAAATATCATGCTGGATATATATACTAATATGGACTGGGTAATGTGTTAGGAGTTTGATAACGCCCTATGGGAGGGGCGAAACGCGTTGACGCATTTCCGGTCCACACTCCATGCGCCTGACATCATTTCCGGTGAGTGGAACGCACGCTGAGCGGTGCATTCCAGCGGCCATCTTGGTTCACTGTTTGGTCTAAGAGGAGTCCTGTCTTTGTTCCACTGTGGATGTGAGATTCCTAGAAGGAAAAGTTTGTATATTTGCTGGAACTGAAGCCTATTATACATAATAAACATGCCTTTAGCAAGTGTTTAACATGTGAGTGGCCTTAATCTCCATTTGGAAAAAGTTACTATTGTGTGACAATATTATACTATGTGAGTTTTTTTCTTTTGGTTGGATGGTGGAGTCTATTCGGAGGGTGAAGATTTTCCCTAGCGTGGCACCAAAGAGGGTTTAGGATCCCTAAAAATTCCTTAAAGGTCCTTTACTCACCAAGTTCTGGTGAGTGTATTCGATGTTGGTTTGTGCACGGGTGGAAGGTGAAAGTATTTTTTGAAGAAAAGAAGTTTGCACTTTTATTTTAACAATTTAATTATGTTTTCAGCACATGGACTTTTGGGTGTTTTTGTTTAAAGATTAAGGACAAACACGATTAATTTATGCACCTATTTTATATTTTTTACTATATTGATTAATCATCTAAATTTGCGCTGTTTATTTATATTCATATTGTTTGTGTTTTCACGATTGGCACAGCAGCAGTTTTAGAGTGTTATTTGGAAAGTTTTGGCGCAGGAATAAGTTTTTTTGTATAAACAATGTGTTAGGAATGTAAGGATACCCCATCGTCAACCTACAGAGGACTGAATTCAAAGTCACCCCGAAAATCAAAGTGATAGAATGATACAGCAGACTAGTCTATGTTGTTGAAATTTCATTGCAGCAACTCAACTAATGATACTACTGCTCCTAATGAGACGACGGATGGTGTCCTGGGGTATTTCCTTCCATATCTGGACCAGGGAATCACTGAGCTCTTGGACAGTCTGAGGTACAACCTGGCAGCATCAGATGAACCTAAATATGATATCCCAGAGGTGTTCTCTTAGATTTAGGTCAGGTGAACGTGGGTGCCATTTGTTGGTATCAATTCCTTCATCCTCCAGGAACTGTCTGCATATTTGCATACTCTCCCCACATGAAGCCGGGCACTGTCGTGCACCAGGAGGAACCCAGGACCCACTGCACCAGCAAGGGTCTGACAATGGGTCCAAGGATTTCATCCCGATACCTAATGGCAATCAGGGTGCCATTGTCTAGCCTGTAGAGGTCTGTGTGTTCCTCCATGGTTATGCCTCCCCAGACCATCACTGACCCACCACCAAAACGGTCATGCTGAACGATGTTATAGGCAGTATAACATTTTCCACGGCTTCTCCAGACCCATTTATGTTTGTCACATGTGTTTATGGTGAACCTGCTCTCATCTAAAAAGCACAAGGCGCCAGTGGCGCAACTGTTAATTCTGGTGTTCAATGGCAAATGCCAAATGAGCTCTTTGGTGCCGGCAGGTGAGTACAGGTTTCACTAGAGGATGTCAGGCCCTCAGACCACCCTCATGAAGTCTGTTTCTGACTGTTTGGTTACAGACACTCACACCAGTGGCCTGCTGGAGGTCATTTTGTAGGGCTCTGGCAGTGCTCATCCTGTTCCTCCTTGCACAAAGGAGCAGTTACCGGTCCTGCTGAAGGGTTAAGGACCTTCTACAGCCCTGTCCAGCTCTCCTAGAGTAACTGCTTGTCTCCTGGAATCTTCTCCATGCTCTTGAGACACAGCAAACCTTCTGGCAATGGCACATATTGATGTGCAATCCGGAGGAGTAGGACTGCCTGTGCAACCTCTGTAGGTTCCAGGTATCGCCTCATGCTACCAGTAGTGACACTGACCCTAGTCAAATGCAAAACTAGTGAAAAACAGTCAGAAAGGATGAGTAGGGGAAAAATTGTGTTGGGGTTTGTCTTATTGTTGCCCATCCAGTGCACCTGTTGTTAACTGCATTAACACCAAAGCAGCTGAAACTGATTAACAACCCCCTCTGCTACTTAACTGACCAGATTAATATCCCAGGCGTTTAATTGACTTGTTGCTCTACTCTGATTAAAAAGTGTTCCTTTAATTATTTTGAGCTCTGTATATGTATATATATATATATAATATATATATATATATATATATATATATATACACACACACACACACTATATTGCCAAAAGTACTGGGACATTCCTCCAAATCATAGGATTTAGGTGTTCCAATCACCTCCATGGCCACAGGTGTAAAAATTAAGCACATAGGCATGCAGACTGCTTCTACAAACATTTGTGAAAGAATGGGTCCATGGTCAACAGTTAGTGGTCTTATAGCAAATTGAAAGCGAATGCTGAAGCGCACAGTGCACAGAAGTCGACAACTGTCTGCAAACTCCATAGCTAAAGACCTCCAAACGTCATGTGACCTTCAGATTAGCACAACAGTGCGTATGGAATGCGTTTCCATGGTCGAGCAGCTGAATCCAAGCCTTACATCACCAAGTGCAATGTACAGCTTCGGATGCAGTGGTTTAACCTCCCTGGCGGTATTCCAGAGTGTAGCTCGGGAGAAAATTTCAGTACCAAGAGCGGTAACCCCGAGCTACACTCGGGCTTACCATGCGGCGTTGCTCAGGGAGTCCCTGCAGCACTTACCTTGTCCTTCGCTCCCACAATGTGTCCCCTGCAGCGTCCCTTGCCATCTCCTCCGGTCGATACCGGCATCCGGCTGCCGTGTTCCGGTCCCTGTGACGTCGGGACGTACGGGCGTACGGGCGGCAAATTTGAAATTTTTAAAAAATGATTATTATTATATAGTAAAACATTGCTGTTTCAATGCATTTCACATATATTTTGTCCCTACTGCTTTGTCCTGTGCCCTGCCTACATTTTGAATGTTCTTTCTGCTTGGAAACTTAGAAAAGTCCATGGCGTCCAAAAAGCGTCCCTTTATGTCAAAAGTGGTTTTAGACCAGCTAGAGAACAGCGGTAGTAAATCAGAACCACTTGCAGAATTGAGTGATAATGATTCGTGGGGAAATTCGTCATCAGACACTGAAAACGATTTTGCGACTTTGCTCTCAGCGATGTGCGAATTTGCCTCTGTATTTCAAATTTCAGTGTTTTTGGTTTGATTATATTATTGAATTAAATTTATTATTATTATATTATTATTTTTTATGATTATTAATTAAATTATAATTTATGATTTCGTGTTTCAAGTTTTATCATATCCGGAATGTTTACTAGACTCTTGTTCGGACAGATTTCAGTGAGTTATTCCTAAAAATTACAACCTACAATAAAAAACTACATATTTCCATGCAAAAAAATGGTACTGCTTTCAGCACCAAAAATCGGAAATAATCATACCGCCAGGAAGGTTAAAGCACGCCGCCACTGGACACTGGAGTGACAAATCACGCTTCTCTGTCTGTCAATCCGATGGACATATCTGGATTTGGCGCTTACCAGGAGACATGTACTTGCCTGACTACATTTTGCCAAGTGTAAAGTTTGGTGGAGAGGGGATTATGGTGTGGGATTGTTTCAGGGGTTGGGCTTGACCTCTTATTTCTTATGAAGGGAACTCTTAAAGCGTCAGCATACCAAGATATTTTGGTCAATTTCATGCTCCCAACTTTGTGGGAACAGTTTGTGGGTGGCCCCTTCCTGTTAAAACATGACTGCGCACCAGTGCACAAAGCAAGGTCTATAAGGACATGGATGAGCGAGTTTAGGGTGGAGGAAATTGACTGGCCTGCACAGAGTCCTGACCACAACCCAATAGAACACCTTTGGGATGAATTAGACTGGAGACTGCAAGCCAGGCCTTCTTGTCCGACATCAGACCTCAGAAATACGCTTCTGGAAGAATGGTTAAACATTCCTACACGCATTCCTAAACCTTGTGGACAGCCCAGAAGAGTTGACTCTGTTATAGCTGCAAAGGGTAGGCCAACTCAATACTGAACCCTACGAACTAAGACAGGGATGTCATTACACTTTGTGTGCCTGTAAAGGTAGGTGCCCCAATACTTTTGGCAATATAGTATATAAATATATATATGGGTGTGTGTATATTTATATATATATATATATATATATATATATATACATTTATATTTCAATGTAACAGCTCTCTTTGATGTAACATGAGCACAGCTAAATATTCCATTCAGCGTTTGCCACACTCCCCTTTTTTTCTGTTTTTTTTTTTTTTTGGGGGGGGGGGGGGGGGTTGTTTTTTTTTTGGGGGGGATGGGTTTAGTTTTTCTTGGCACTTTCCATGTATTGTGTGTAAATTCAATGTAATATTATACCCCAAAGATATATTACAGTATTGGATCATCTCTGTATATAGATGCACATGCCTGTTCATAGTCCATAATCTGGGGCTCACAGTTGTCTGCTGTTCTTCTCATCCATATATGATGCTGGGCTCTCTGTTTGCTCCCTGTTCTATATCACATGGTGCTACCTCTGCAAATGTATTTGCAATATATCATTTTTTAATTGTTTTGTTTTTATGCATTGATATACAGTACATGGGAAACGTTCCAATAAATTTTGTTTTTATCACTAGCACCTCAGTGATTATATGTTGGCAATCACTGGACTAGTTGTAGATAAATCCACAGAGTTGGGGTCTAATATGAGGTGTCTAACCATTAGGTTTTACCTTTCTTTTTCTTGTGAAAATGCTATTACAAATATTTAGCATGCTTTTAGGGGCATATTTTACCTTTGCAAATTAAATAAATGGAATCATTTTTTAATATTATGTTTCAGTCGTATGTTTCTTCCTGAGAGTATGAGCAGCTTAAAATTCCCAGTTTCTTTACCTTTGTGTTTTTGATATAATATTGGGGGATGTGGTGCCCTATGTGTCTACTTTCATCACTTGTTATATAATATCACCCTAAGTAAAAAATGAGTAAGAAGGCTACAAAAAACACAATTCAAACACCCCAGAACCCTCAGAAACTAGAAATACTAAATCAAGATTGTAGCTGTATGCTGCTGTGTGATCTCCACCTTAAACTGTCTCCTTGCTAAGCACTGACTTTCTGAAAACTTAGGGCAAATGCTGCTGGGTGATCTCCACCTTAAACTGTCTCCTTGCTACGTACTGACTTTCTGCAAACTTTGGGTAAATGCTGCTGTGCGATCTCCACCTTAAACTGTCTCCTTGCTATGCACTGACTCTCTGTAAACGTGGGGTAAATGCTGTTGTGTGATCTCCACCTTAAACTGTCTCCCTGCTATGCACTGACTTTCTGCAAAACTCAGGATAATTAGTCCTATATCTTTTTGTCTGTTTGTGGTGATTGATTCTCACCTCCGTTGCCTTTCTGTGATCAAAGAATCAATCATCTTTTATGACTTTGGCCTGTGTCTGTGGCTGGTCTGGTTTTGACCAACCTCCCCCCAAATTCATGTGATCCTTATCAGTTCCTAATTGGGGCGGAGAAGAATTGCTCATCTGATCATCTCCCTATAAATTTAGACCAGCTGATATGGGTGATCACAGATGGGGGGGTACAGTCACAGATGGGGCACTGTCCTGCGTGAGTGCATTTTCTGCTGGAGTGCAAAACAGCAGTTAAACACAGCAATTTAACTAAAGCAGGATAACTAAAGCAGCAGAAAGATACAACAAATAACTCTACTGCATGCTGGATGGACTGCAAGCAAAAACACCCTGGGAAACATCTCCTATAAATTTGATTCTCACTCCATGTACCTTTTAATATGCTTCCTCTACACCTTCTTTTTATATTACTATCCTCTGTTCTAAAAATCTAATTTCTTTACCCCAAGGCTTATACATATCACCCTCACTTCTACCATCTCCCTATTACTGCTCTCATCACCTCCTGCTAATACTTTACACACCTGCTGACCCAAACACCAGGACAGGATGGCATGTGCATTCGTATACATCCCACTCTCATCTTACTTCCCTCACCCTCCTTCTTCTCCTACCCTCTGGGGATATCTCCCTAAACCCTGGTCTTCCAGTATCTTACCCCTACACCAGACACCCTCCTTCCTCCAGGAATAGCTGCAATCCATTCAATTTAATCTCAATCCCCATGCTCCGAAAAAAACACCATCCCTTTATCATGTGTACTCTGGAAGGCCCGATCTGTCTGTAATAAGCTCACCTCTGTCCATGACCTTTTTGTCTCCCACTCCCTTAACCTACTAGCAATTACATAAACCTGACTTCCAGCATCAGATTCTGCTTCTCCTGCAGCACTTTCCTATGGAGGCCTTCTCTGGACCCACTCACCCAGACCCAGTGGTCGGAAAGGAGACGGAGTTGGTTTGCTTCTATCCCCACTGAGCACCTTTCAAGTCCTCCCTAACCCTCCCTCTCTATCCCTTTCTTCTTTCGAGACTCACTGCATTTGGCTGTTTTCTCCCATTTCTCTGAGGATTGTCATGATCTACCGGCCTCCTGGAACGGAGTCACACTTTCTTGATGATTTCTCTGCTTGGCTACCCTAGTTTCTCTCCTCAGAAATACCCACTATCATTCTTCGAGATTTTAGCATCCGCATTAATGTGGCATCCCAACTCTTCAACCTAATCTCATCTTTTGCCTTAACACAATGGACACAGTCCTCCACTCACTCTGATGGGAATACATTAGACCTTGTCTTCTCCCATCTTTGCACTCCCTACAACCTCACAAACACCCCCTTTCCTCTCTCTGATCATATCATCACCTTCACAGTGTCCTCATCTTCAATCACTTATCCTTTCAAGCAGCAAACAACTATCCGCAGAAACCTTCACAACTTAAACCCTTCTCTTTCCCACTCTGCAACTGACCGCCTCTATGACAAAATCTCTCCCCTGTCCTGCCCTGACCTGGCCACTGCTGTCTACAACAGTTCGCTTTCATCCACACTAGACTCACTTACTCCTCTAACTACACAAAGTATCAGGCCCCGACCATTATAACTGTGGCAGACTGATGACACCAGAAATCTTAATCATATTCTTAATCATAATCAAATCATAGTCATGCACAGGAGCGATTGTGGCATAAAACCAAATATGGGCAAGTATTCGCAATATATAAATCTGCTTTCTTAACATACAATTCCTCCCTCCATGCTGCCAAACAAGCCTACTTTGTCACTCTTATTAATAGCTTGTCATCCAGTCCTCATCGTCTCTTCTCTATTTTCAACTCTCTACTTTCTCCACCTCCACCTCCACCCAGTAACTCACTCACTGCTTACGAGATTGCAAATCATTTCAAAAACAAGATTGATGCAATTCATCTCTGCTACATAGACATCTATCTCACTTAACATACCTTATACTAAACCTCCCTCAACACTTTCCTCTTTTGACCTTGCTACTACTGAAAAGGTCACTAAAGTTTTCTCAAAAGCCTGTCTCTTTACGTGCCCCCTGGATCCTGTCCTCTCTCAACTACTACAGTCACCCTTTTCTTCTGTTCTATGCTCACTCACTCACATCTTCAATCTCTCCCTCTCTAATGGTGCCTTCCGAGCCCCTCTACAGCATGCACAGATCACTCCCATACTTAAAAAGCCCTCGCTGGACCCCACCAACCTGAACAACTTAAGCCCCATCTCCCTGCTGCCATTTACCTCTAAACTCTTAGAACACTTAGTCTACAATCGCCTCAGCTCCTACCTCAATGACAACCTTCTTGACCCTTTACAGTCTGGTTTTCGCTCACTCCACTCCACTGCAACTGCCCTACTAAAACTCACTAATAATTTACTAACTGCTAAAAAACAATGGCCACTAATCCATACTCTTACTATCTGACCTATCTGCGGCTTTTGATACTGTTGACCATACCCTCCTCCTCAAAAAACTCCACTCTCTTGGCCTCTAAGACTACTGGTTCTCCTCCTACCCATCCAAATGCTCCTTCAGCGTTACCTATAACTCTGTCTCCTCCTTTCCACTTCCTCTTTCTGTAGGGGTCCCTCAAGGTTCTGCCCTTGGACCCCTTCTCTTCTCCATCTACACTTCCTCCCTTGGTCACTTGATAAGCTCCCATGGCTTTAAGTACCATTTCTATGCTGATGACACACAAATTTATCTTTCTACTTCTCACCTCGCCCCTTCAGTCTCCTCTCGCATTACTAACCTACTAAGTGACATATCAGCATGGATATCACTCCACTTCCTCAAACTAAATCTTTCCAAAACGGAACTCATACTATTCCCTCCAGCCCGTTCCCATCTCCCCTGACTTCTCCATCAAGATCAATAATACAACCATCAGTCCCTTCCCTCATGCCAGGGTGCTAGGTGTAATCCTAGACTCCCATCTGTCCTTTCAGCCCCAAATCCAATCACTGTCCAAATCTTGTAGACTTCACATCTCTAGGATACACCCCTTTTTAACCTCTGAAACCACTAAGCAACTTATTCACTCCGTGGTTATCTCTCGCCTTGACTATTCTAACTCCCTCCTCATTAGCCTCGCAGGCTATCCCCTCTTCAGTCTATCATGGATGCTGCTGTCAGACTCATCCACCTTACTAACCATTCCATATCTGCCACCCCTCTCTGCCAATACCTCCACTGGCTTCCCATTGCCCAACGGATAAAATTCAAAACATTAACAATAACATATAAAGCCATTTATAACTCTGCCCCAAATTACATCACAAATCTTGTCTACAAATATCTCCCAAACCATCCTCCTCCACTCCTCCCACGACTTCCTGCTCTCTAGCTCCCTTGTCTCCTCCTCCCATGCTCGTCTCCATGACTTTTCCAGAGCCCCCCCATCCTCTGGAACTCTCTGCCTGAATCTATCGGACTATCGCCTACTCTGCCCACTTTTAGCCGATTTCTGAAAACCTATCTCTTCAGGGAAGTGTATCCTGCCTTCAGCTAATAACAGAATGTTTTATTCCTCCTATAAATTAATCTCCCACAACTATGAACTTTTGTACCACCAGCCCCTCCCTGTCAGATTGTAAGTTCCCAGGAGCAGGGCCCTCCTAACCCTCTTGTATTGAACTGTATTGTTGTTTTATTGTCTCCCTTTATATTGAAAAGCGCTGGGCAAACTGTTGGCACTATATAAATCCTATATAATAATAACAATAATAATAATAATAATAACCAGTGCATTTCTAACATGACAGTTGAGTCTAACAGTTGAGAGTGCATATCTGAAACGTTCATTTATAAAATTAACTGTTCATAACTGATGTTATTCTGGCCATCTCTGTCCTTCATATACCCCGTGTCCCAAAAAATGTGGTTATCCTCACGCCAAATGGTCCATCATTGTGGATTTTACTGTCCATTTTCATAGTGAAATTATTGGTTATCATAGTGATGCATAAAAGAGCCAATGAAAGATGCAGAAGTATAGAACTGTCCTTACAAAAATCATTAGAAAGGATAAATCTTGAAAATTAACAAAAGTTTTGGGTGCCACACTGTTCAAAGGATATCAACAGTTTTGGAGAAGTGCCAAAGACAAGCAACCAATCTAGCAGAAAAAAGGGGGGTCTCACTTAAAATGAGATTCGAAAACTTGGCAGGTTCAGTTTGGGAAAAAGAGATTTAAAGATGATCAAATAATATGTATTTTTATATCAACAGTCAGTATAAACATTTGCCAGATTTTTTTTTCTCATGGAATGTCAGTGGTATCTAGAGGGAACAAGATTTTAAAGAGGTTATTTATGATAAGAGTGTTTTAGCTTTTCAAACACATGAGATAATAATGGAATTTAAAGCAGATTTGGAAGATTTTTTTATGACTAGTGGTTTCCAAATTTAAAGCTACTACTACAGACAGTACGGTAATATTTTGATCCAGGATATTGATCCAACCGCTTTTTTTAAGATTGTTTTTCAACCTAAAGAGTAAAATTGGGAATCATTACTCAGGGGGTGTTCTCTTGCTTTCCTTTGAACCAAAATTAATTAGGTTTGTGGAAGGTTCAATTTGATGGCTATTTGTATTTTCATTTATTCTATAATAACTTTACAACTTTTATTATACACAAAGAAAGACACACATAAAAAGTGGGTTTTCCATATGTATCAAAATGACAGATTTTATTGGCAGTGAAATAGACCAGGCAGTCAAAACAAGTCCGATGAAAAACTAACTGACTGTAACAGAAGTTTTCTGGCTTCAACTAATATTTCAGCTAATATTTCTTATTCTGTAACATTTACTCACAGGGCATTTCAAACTTAAATCAGTATAAACCTTCTCTTACAAACACCGCTGCTCCAACACCAAGACAACATGGGTCAAGGTTATTATTTATCCCCTGCTTACTGTTTCTTTGAGCCCTATAGGAATTGATGTATAATCTGTAGCCCAGGCCTGCAGCGCTAGACTCTTCTCTGGCAGAAGAGCCAAGACCTCATGGGCTGAGCTTAATATCAGATTGGTGACACTCATTGCAGAAGCTAGTTAGTTGCACAAGTTTACACGCAAAAAAAAGAAAACACTGTAGTGTAGTTCCTGAGTGGTAATACAGGAATGCATCTTACCAGTGAAGTTGCCTCCAATAACATATGGAATGACTCCCCCAGGCCATATCCTTTCAGCGCGTGATGTAGCAGCTCTGGGAATTCGTCTCTTCTCACTTCTCCCTGAGGATTTTGGATCTACCTTTTCACTAGTTGCATTAGAGCGCTCATAACCTACATTGAAAGGGAAAGTACTATTATATCTATTGTCACGGGTCAAGAACCTAATAAAATGATAGTGAATGACACTATTTATGCAGCTTTAAAAATGCCACTGCAGTGATCTAAAAGGCATATATAAGTAGTTCAAATACCAGAGCCAAATCTTCTTATCCTCTCTATAAGCTGATAGAGTGCGCCTCTTTTTTTTGATAGATCATGCTCTTCAAGGCCACCTTGAAAATGGAATAAAGAAAATCATGAGTGTTGTCCCTGCCAGGTCAAGTACAAGATCACCAACAATGTTACCAATTTATAAGGAAGTAAGTTTGCATCTGACTTTGGAAAGCACATTCAACTGAAGTCATTTTCATCTAAATTCCAGGGCCTATGCCAAGATCTTTTTTTCCCTTCTTCAGACAAGTCATGACAATGACATCACCAAATTATTATCTAAAGTGTCTCTGCTCTGTGTGACCTTCACATCTTTTGTGCCATATTGATTGGCAGTCAGATGCTTTGCTTTCATCTAGATTGCATACCGCTGACTGTTTTCATCTTCTGGTAATGAAATTTTTCCAACTAGAAGCAATTACACCTTCTAAAAAAAGAACACCCAAAAATGCAGCGTAGTAACATTTTTTCAAAACCTTTATTGGGTTTGAAATGGATCTGAGAAACCACATCCTTTAATCACACTAGAACAGCACAGCTATCAAGCACTGGTGGGTTGTAATCGGATCTCAGAGGCTCTCCTGTGTAGCTTTATAATCAATAGCTCAGAGCCTCAGATACAAGCTGAAAAGGGCTAATGACCAAAGGGGGTGGGAAAAAAAGAAAGAGGAAAATGTTTACTGTACAAGTGCAATAAATCAAAAGCCTTGTTCAAAGAAAATGGGTCATAATAAACATCCAGTACATTTAGCGCACTGTTATCCATTTACCTAGCCAAGAGCCAGGGGACAACAGTTATAAAATAACAAGCTTTGCTCATTATCATAAAGTAATCCAGAAGTTGTGAGTAGTTTCTTTACATTTTGGAGACCTCTCTTTCTGCTCTCAGCCCTTCCAAAGGCAAAAATGTATGCCAGCAGTCACAGTACAATCCTGTAATTTTGTTAAAAGCAGTGACCAGAGATAACATGTAGCAATACTAAGCAATGCCTTGTAAACCAATGTTATATATTACTATCTACCTGTGAAGAAATTGGTAAGAAAAGAAAAACCTTGATCTGTTAAATTATAGTTTCATAGTGGTAAATATACTAAAACTAGAGTGTGCAAAATCCGGTGCAGCTCTGCATAATAATCAATCATCTTCCAGGTTTTATTATCAAAGCTTAATTGAACAAGCTAAAAAGGTAAAAGCTGACTGGCTACCATGCAGAGCTGCACCAGATTCTGAGTGCTCCAGTTTCAGAAAATCTCCCCCATAGTGTATTTGTATATACTATACAAATATAGTATACCTCACCTGGGAACAGTGGAAATGTAATTATACACAGCTCAAATGGTTGTTTATCTACATGTCAAAATTAATGCAGGCTTTGGTGTTAACATACATTGACTTGATGTAGAAGGGTTACATTTTATATGGGTTTATAATCCAAGTGTTCATTTGCATGCATTGCATCAACTAAAATTGAGGAGGGCAAACACAGTGAAACCGATTCACTAAGGGATCTGCAAATGTGCACAAATTAAATTGTGAGAATACTCAATTCAATTATCTGATCATGTCCAGATAAAATAAATAAACAGGAATTAGCATTTTACATAACTGGATAATTGAAGTGAATATTTCAACAATATTTTGTGAAGGTTCTTAACTCCTTCAGCCACAGTATGGTAAATTTCTTATTCTAAAATGTGAAGTCTCATTCAGACTTAGGAAACTGGTGCAAAGATTAAACAGGTGGTGTACCAAGGCGCCTCTAGCCTTATTTGGATGGCTCAAGTAAAAAGCAAAATATGAGCAGAGAAAAGGAGCAGGAGCCTCTTAAATACACTGGTAAATCTTTTTTTTTTCCAAATCACAGCATATAATTAACTAAATAAATCTAGAACCTTTGCATCACTGTGGCAACATAGTATTATTTCAGTTTAAAAAAGCAATAAGGATATGGGAAACCAGTAAAGCATTCCATTCTCAAGGACATTTTGTTGTGTCAGGGAGAGAAAGAATGACCTTTTCCAATGTAATGGGGCACCATAAAAAAATTTTGTGTTAGGCATCATGGAACCTATATCCACAGCTGCTTTGTAACCATAGACATGCAATAGTCTGATAACATAATAAGAGAGGATAATCTTTTTTTTTTCAGGTGCTTTTTATTCAAGGTTTTGCAGTTTTACAAAAAACAATTAGAAAAAAAACAGAGGAAAGAAAACAAACTACAATAAATAAGTAGCAGTCATGTTTTCCCTGGGAACAGGCACCTAGAGTAGCAATTCCTATACATTTAAGTATATGTAAAGAAATATGGGCAGCACAGTGGCTAAATGGTTAGCGCTTCCGCCTGGCAGTACTAGGATCGTTGGTTCAAATCTCAACCAAGCACTACCTGCCTGGAGTTTGCATGTTCTCCCTGTGCCTGCGTGGGTTTCCTCCGGGTACTCCGGTTTCCTCTCACACTCCAAAGACATGCTGGTAGGTTAATTGGATCCTGTCTAAATTGGCCCTAATATGTGTATGTATGAATGTGAGTTAGGGACCTTAGGTTGTACGCCCCTTGAGGGTTAGGGACTGATGTGAATGTACAAAATATATATATGTGTGTAAAGCGCTGCATAAATTGACGGCGCTATATAAGTACCTGAAATAAATAAAATAAATAACAAAACATCATAAATACATACAGGTCAGTAGCTATGCATCAATCACCACAGAACATATTCAGTGCAACCCAGTTCCCACTATGCACACAGATGTGAGAGGAAGCAAGAAGGGTTTTTACGTGCCAAACAAGGATGACAAGGAAGCATCACCACCACTCTGTCCAGTACAAGTAACAAGCACTTCTCAACTAAAGCGTGTCTACCCACTGTGCGCCCCAGCCATCTATATCCACCAGTACTATACCCCAGTCATTCTAAAATAAACATCAACGTCAATAAACGTAATATTGTAGAATCTGCATGGTCACTAATGCTAAGAGGGGCTAGTCCTGGAATCTGCAGTCATGGGTCCCATAGTTTGTCAAATTTGTAAGGAGTGTCCCGTTGCAGCAAAATCTGTCTTTCTTTAAACTTATATACTTCCTCATCCAAGAATCTCAGTATACATGTCAATGGGTCATACTGTAAAACAGTCTGGAATGCCATGTTAATAGTAGCAGTAATATTCCAAAGCATGTGCAACAGATCCGCAGGGGATCCTTCACATCTGGGGCAATCCAGACTTTCTTTACAGTGTCATTAGTATTGCTTATGTGGCATTCTACACGCCCTATGTATGACGAAGAGTTTGTGATAGTCATTGTATTGGTGAAAGGGACACTAGTAGAACCTGTTCTAACACGATCTGCCATACATCCCCATCTACAGCAGCAATATCTTTAGCCCATCCTTTCCTACCAGGGAGCTGCTGTTTACCAAGGGAACTATCCAGCAATTATTTATACATGGAAGAAATGATGCCTTTACTATCTTTAATAGTAGCTAACTGGTCCACAATTGGCATGGATGAAGTTGGAGGTATTGGAAAAACCTATGAGAGGGGATAGCAAATTCCTGCTGTATATCTTGAAAGGAGTTTAGTTGGTGATTAGCGTATAATTGATTAAAGAACTGGAACCCCCTGGAGTACCGGCCATCGGAAGATTATCTTAGGTCTATGCATACTTACACGGAAGTATAAGTAAATAGTGCAGTGAATGGTAATTGCTGACTCTACATATAGGGGTTTGAACTCTTTTTCAATTATGTTTTTTTTCCACAAATTGTATTTTTTTTTAAATATGTACTAAAAATTCTCTTTTGCTTTTTTCAGCCCTCAATATGAACAGGCAAACATGTATTCTAGCTGCCCCGAGTCAGAAAAACACTTATGCATCCCTTTAAAAGTGAGTTAGGCTAAGCATGGCTGTACACAAATGTGGACTGTTTTTCATGCCAAATTCAGCAATGTCTCTCTAAGAAAGACCTTTTTTGTTGCATGAATATGATGTACATCCTATACATCACTATAATTGACTACACCCCACCCCAGATTACAAGAAAAGTGCAACAAAACAGGTAATATAGCTGCCCCCTTAATATTTCTGTCACTTAAGCTCATTAACTAGCATTCTCAAAAATAAATTCAGATCAAGTTTATTTTATAAATGAAGTCATTTTCTCACCCTCGCAAATAGGATTCCTAAGACATATTTTTATACCTTTTATGGGTGTTGTTTTCATTGCAAATATTCCAGGCCAATCACTGCTCCACAGTGTTTTGCAGCACTGAAATGTGAAACCTGTGAATTAATGTCTCGCCTGTCAATCAATCTAATAGAGATAATTCAATAGAATAACAGCCTACAACGCTGTTAATTTTGGGAAAGTATGTGTCCGGTCTCATGAGAACCTCTAATGACTCCAAAAATATTAATGTTCACAGACATGTTTCTTTGCTAAAAGAACTAGTGCATTCTTGGTGGTAGAAGTGCGGAAGTCATCCAAGGTTACATTTGTTTTATAAACCATAAAGGCTTTGACTTTATTATATGCTTATTTGTGGAATGGAAGAGATGGCATTTATGAGGGAATGTGTGGTCTATGTTAATCCAGCTGTTCCTTCAGCACATCTTACTTAATGCATAAAGTGCTGTGAAGGGCCACTGCACATCGTGGCTTTTTTTATGTGTATGGGGATGGGGGTAGGTCAAAACCTTTGCAGTAACCCATATCAACCAATTATAAATCATATTTCACTCATGAGATTTTATTAAATTGCTAGCTGAAATCAGCAGAGCTACAAGACATATATACTCTTGAGCAGTATGATTAAATTCAATTCAATTGGCATAGATCTGCCACCTGGCCATTTATAATAGACCTGCCTGTCAAAAATAGAACTGCAATCAGATGTAATTGATTTCTATATGTAACAGCACACACTTTCAATTGGACCGTGAAGTAAAAAAAAATATCTGGGTTGCCCATAGTAGGAATACAGAATGACCCCTATTTCCTAACCAGCACTAGAAAACATACAGCTAGAATAAATAAATAAAAAATCCTCTTGCACTGC